AAAATCGACCCCTTTCCTACCAGACTCTTATGGTTTCAATGAAAGTGTTTTACTGACTGATGTAATTATCAGTTGTTCGTAGGCATGCTTGATCTCAGTATGAGAAGAAAGATGTCTGTCAAAAATAAAGAGTATAATATTAATTATATTTGACCTCATCAAGGAAATGTGGAGAGCTGATGTTAGCTAAACTACCTGACAAACAGGTGCTGGCTACATTGTATGTGATTCTTCTTGATTGCACCAATTTTTCATTACAAATTTTACATTTTTGTCTGAAGTTAAATGAAGCTGGACCATTCTTTGTGGGATCGACTCCCAGCCTTAGTTGTTAGGTGTCAGTACTGAAAATCATGTAAACAGCAGAAAGTCCTTTTCCGTTTGTAATATTATTATACAAATGAAGCTTGTTCAAGGCATTCCATATGTCTTATGTGAAGCTTGTAACAGATATTCACATATAACCTGGTTAGACCACAGCTGATATTTGGAGTCAGAGATGTATCGAGAACTTCCAGAAGGCCTAGACTGATGTTTTTATCACAAACGCAAAGTTGGTCCTACCCATTGTAAATCTAAATATTACTGGTTGATTCTGCTGTCAGTTCCTAAATATGTTAGTACGTAATCTGATGCCTTAGGTCTTCAGTTAAGCTCCTGAAGGCCTAACCAATGGGAGAGCTTGCTTGGCTGTGGCTGCCTACATGTTTTTTTTAGTTTTACAGAAATCATTAGGCCTCTCTGATGGCCTAGAAGACCCTATGGATTCCCATCTGTTTTCTTTAAAGTAAATGATTCACTTTGAATCCTAAAACAAGCCACTAGATCTCAGTGTTTCATCGGCAGGAGTTTGTGCCCGTACTGCTGAATTTGAGGGACGGCAACATCATCCAAATATCTTACTGGCCAATCAATATGACTTGGGTCCTAATTTCCTTATATGATATATTAAACCTACCTAAACTAAATGAAGTGATCCTTTTGGAGGTGTAAGTGGGAGTGGTGGCCCCATTGTTCTGCATGACCGCTAGAGCAGTTCAAAGAGGAATGCAAACGGGGCGTTCTTGTGCCTGGCGCGTGCTGTTCAGAATGAACCAACTGTGATAAGACACGCTATGGCTGGGCCACAGGATCCCAACACCTCCTCCACCTCTCAACACTAAGCCACAGCACCCACTACAAACCAAACCAAACCTAAAAGTCAAACTGTGCTGTGTTTTTAGTGTAAACACCGATACAGCATGCAGAACATTAGTACTGCACATACTGGAAACAGTATGTGTCCCACTGGAACAGATGAAAAGTAGTCGTTTCTAATTAAAAAGGAATGACCACAGCAGGAAAGACAAGCTAAACTACAACTGGGAAGAGTAAAGGAAATTGGGTGACTGTTCCAGCTGTTTTGTAGATTAGGTCTAATTAAGAGCCTTCACTCTCCATGTGCTTCCTCTCGGGGGGTCTGTGGGGTTAAACCTGGCCAGCTGCTCATAACTCACATTCCTAAGAGTAGGAGTAGTGGACTAGGATCACCCCCAGTTGTCAATGTAATAAGAACTACTGGGACGTAGGATTTGAAAGGTAAAACCTGAGCATAGATGAGAAATCAGAGCAGTATTACACATACAGTCAAACAACATGTTTTGTTGATTATATACACACACACACACACACACACACATATATATATACATATATATATATATATATACACCAAATCAGCCTGCAGCAGTTCAGCCCCTCCCACTCATGCTGAAGTTACAAGGAGTGTTTCAGCCCTGACTGCTTTGTAAATGACCACAATACACAATATAGGACAGCAAATCAGAACAGCGCTTATTTACATATACCAGCGTTAAAGACACAGCAGGAGAAACAGACGGTTTAATTTTAATGAACAAAAGACTTAGAAAATGTTCTTGTAAAAATGAACTGCCTGGCAAATATTAGGGCTTTACCCCTACAACAACGTATAAAGTTCAGCATAACTCAAGAGAACCGAATAAACTCTGTTCAAACAGTTCTAGGATCTGATCCCTCACTGTCTTTGAAGGCCCTCATCACTACACAGCTAAAAGTAAAGGCATTCCAGCAACAGCATGGCTGTTCTGTGGGATGTGTGGGAATACAGCTGGATTTCTTGGTGTGATTACTTGACCCGTCTCACCCAGAGATCTACACCAGGCCCCTGTGCTGCTAAATAATGAGGACTGTAATCCTCCGCCTAAGCCGCTCCCCACTGTGCCAAGCCAGACGGACAATATTGAACCCAACGAGAGTCCACTGGGGTGTACACACACACCCCACACACTCTGATGCAATTACAGCACCCTCCTACACAATTCCAGCGGTCTATTAGGATGAGGTAACTTCAGCCAACACAGCCTCGTTCAGGTCAAGTCACGATTATGAAAACAGAAATGAAACACTATAATCCATTATGACTATAAATAATTACCATATAGTCTTAATCAACAGAGTTTTCTTAATTTTCTAAGTGAAATAAGTTAACACACACCAGCACATTTTAATGCAGATACTGCTGATTTGCTGAATTTAACATATTGGTAAAAAAATAAAATATATAATGTGGCATGTGTAAAAGTTATGACACATTTTCTGTTTTATGTTCTTTCCAAAATGAGCAAAACAAGAACTGTGCATTAAAATTAGCAGAAAATGCTCTGTTTGAGTGTGTTCCCTGTAGAGGATGTCTTTTGCTTACTTTCACTTAGAAAATCAACGAAACATGACTTGGGGGGGGTTCAAGCTTTTGCATATGTAGCAGTGCTTCAGATTGCGTTGCTCTGCTGGTTAGTTCGTTTGTTGCTGTTCAGGATGCACATGATTCGTTCATGTGATGTTACTGATTAGGATGTGCACATGCAGGTCATTTGTTTCAGGACGCAAGTTTGTTTACATTAATGCCACATGAGTCACTTAGCTATGTGAATGTGAATCATCAAATCAGAAAGATTAGATCTGAGCAAACAATCATGGTCAATGGCTGCTCTCAATTTAATTAAACAGGATTAATTATGCTCTCTTTTATATAAAATCCTGTCACACAGACACAGATACATTCTGTCAGTATTCTTTAAAGCTACACTATGTAAGATTTGGGGATTTAGAGACGTCTCTGGAGGGAATGTGTAATTGCACGCAACATGTGGAAGAAGATTTTGCTATGTCAGTTGTGCTTTGGACCCCTTCCCCAAGCGGATGAATCTGATGAATTCAAGAATGTTTAAAGAGTATTCGAAGAAAAATTGATGAAGGACATGTCTTCTAAGGATGTGAGTGAATTATCTACTATTGTTATCAAATCTTCATCAATGTAATGCTGATTCTGCATTTGAGACCTAAACATCGAGCCAGACCTTCGTTTTGAGCCCATGTGTGACGTTAGTACGTAAAAACATATGAAGAGGTCCAAAAAACTCAAAACCCAACAACTCTGACTTTTAATCAATTAATTTAGGCATTATATCATGTACTTTACTGCTCCTACCAAGGTATTTTGTCATTTTGCTGCCCAACTTTGCCCAATCTGGAAGAAGCACAGCGTTGCCAGCAGAGCAGCACTGGCAATTTATAGCAGCACACTGACACTAATGTTTTGTTTTTTTTTTCTCCAGACTAACAAAAAAATCCATACACAGTACAGCTTTATGTACTGATGACATCCACAATATGCTCAGGACAAAGTAATTTAATAATTAATTAAGATACATAATGATATAATACCGCCCACCCTTACTTATGGTTAAGACCAATATTTCACATGTGAACTTAGGCAAAACGCAATAAAACATTTTAAGATCATTTTGACGCTTGGAACATTTGTTATTACGATATCATATATAACTGTTTCTGATTTGCTTCAGCTGTTGAAAATGTGAAACTATCAGACTGAGCTAAAACACGAGGACCTGACTATTTACGTCATCACAGTATGAACGGGCTGTCAACTATTGAAAAACACAGTGGAATTAAAGCATGAACAGCATCTAATTCTCAAACGACAGACACACAGATCTGAGTTTAGTGTTTGTCATATTTAAATCAGCCCACTTTTCACAAATTTGCATGTGAGCCAAACACGCAAAGTCCTAAGGGGCTGAAATGACAGCACACAAAGTACATCTTTCCCGTGTGAATGAAAGTTTAGGAACGTTTAACACACTGAACAGTGAACTAAGAGCAAACACCCACACACTTAAAAAAGACTGTTCTTCAGGGGCTCTTTAGTAAAGGCAATGGTTCTATTTAGAACCATGAGTTCTATATAGAGTCATCCTTAAATGGTTCTTGCCTGGTGAAATAATTCTTCAGATTGAGGCAGAATGTGTTGTATATGGTTTTATAAAGGACCTTTTTGAAAATCGTTCTACAAGGAACCAAAAAGTGTCCTTCTTCTGTTACAATGTCAAGCTGGTAACAATATTGGAAACCTTTTTGGTGCTATGTAGGATCATATACAACACAGTCTCCATTAATCTGAAGAACCATGAAATGGTTTATATATATATATATATACACATAAAACTCATGGCTGCCTTTACTAAATTACCCTTGAAGAACCTTCTCTAAATGTGCAGCATTGTGTTGTCTTTCTGAAGAAAGTAAAGTTACTTTTAAACACTTTTATGAATACAACCTACAATTTAGGACTAGGTCCTAAACGTTAGTCTAAAATGTCTGAAATATGGCGTTTTATTAATAAATGAACATAGTATACAATGTAAAACAGAATTAAACGTTAGACAGTATGGTAACAGAGGCGGGAACAGACACCAGACCTGGAAAAAACTCAACAGGTGAGTGAGCCACTGTAAACATTTCACTGTCTACTCTGAAACAGTCCATTTACATTACTTTATCCATTCATTCCAGAGTTAAAATACGAGTCATTTTAGCAAATGTCTCAAAACCGTGAAAGAAACTCCACGTCAATACATTTGAAGCCACGTGTAAACTTGTATTCCTCTAACATTACTCACTCCAGCGCTGTCGCTTTTGCTCGCATACGCGGCTCTTCCTCCTCCTTTGACGGGCATCCTGCGCTCTTCCTCAGGAAAACTACTTCAGCTTGAATTAACTCGAGTGTCAAGGTTTTCTTACAGTCCTTATATTTTTAGATAAAGCATGGCGAGCTGTCAAACGTTCCTTCAGAAAGTACGCCTCCTGATAGCTACACTCTCCTCACCCCCTGCTCTGTAACCTTCTTGAGAAACATTTTTTTGCAGCGAGCCACTTTCAACCAAGCCAACCCACTCCAGGATCATACCAAACGGAAAAGACGAGAGGGGTGCTTATTTCTTATGCAGGGCAAGACTGATGAAAAAAAAACAAATAAAAATTGAAATACAAAACGGTGCTTTGTGCTTAGAAGTTCTGTCATTGCCAAAGTATTATTTATAGACTGTGAATGTCGATGGCTACGTCTGATGCTGTTTCTTATTCAATTGCATCACCCCTCAAAATGGATTCGCCCAGCTGGCAAACATTGATTTAGCTGTTCTCTCAAAAGTTACAGGATAACAAACAGAACTCTTGTCTGCTGTCAGGAGATTCAGGCTAGTGACCTTACTGCCTGACTGAATGGTGTCAAATAGAAAGAATATTTTGGTGTTAGCTTAGTCTTGGTCTTAAATGACCCCTGCTGACGTTTACAGTGATATATAGCGAGTATAATTCAGAGCTGAATGATGCACTGACAGGCTTCGTAATCCAATAAGCCAGTAACAGCATGGAATTTCAAAAGAGGCCACACCTGTTATTATGCTAAAGCCACACAGTGATATTTAAATGACTTTTGAGTAACTTTGTGGTATAAACCGTTTAATTTTAAGGACAAATATTCTCAAATGGTTTGCGAGCCATACATGAAGCTAACAGAGCCACAAAAGACCAGCTACAGCACTATCCTTTACAACAATGCAAATGAAGTCATCACCTGTTGAGCCAGCATTAACAGTTACGTCACTGAGGACTGTAATTACAGATGACTATTGTATGGAGCTTTGGCGAAACAAAAGCTTCTGCTGTCTACATAAGCAAATCCTGTTAAGAAACCCATTTTCTGTACAGTGTGAGGCAAATAAGGCAAATGCCATAGCTGAAATAACAAACTGTTTCTGTCTGCCCATATCAAAATCTGACCATATGGCCATAGATGTCCCTATATTTGACAGAGGTGGATATGTAAATTGCTTATTTACATTTCTGTATGACTTTATGCATTCACAATATAATGTCAAATGACATTAATACTGGCTAAATCCATGCATGTGTACTGTCCCATGCTTAATTTTGTGATTATTTAGTGTTTTAAGCTAAACATTCTACATCATCCTACATAAGCCAAATTCTACTTGAGCCAAAAAAACATTTCTCGGGAGAAAAAAGCTTCTTGACTAAGATTCAAATCACCTGTTCTTTGCTATATTGCTAGTATATGTTAACACTGCCTCTGCCAAAACATTGCCTCATATTTGTCACGTGTGGTGGTAGCTTAGTCCAAGTGCCTGCATGCTTAAAATAAATACAAATTAAAAAAAAAAATAAATGAAACATTTCTTTTTTTAAACATTAGCGGAAATGAGCAATACACTGACCACAGGGCAAGACTGACCTCGTTACTCAGAATCACGGTATAGCTCATCATCAGCAGACTAGCTACACCCAGTCAAGCCATGACAACATCTCCCACTAAAACTCAGTCAGCTCGGCCCCTTTATCGGCGATAAACCTCTTTTACACATTAGGCCATCATCAGCGTCTGTTAATGGTAAAGGGGTGGTGCCTCTGTGTGGCTTTCAGGGGTAACAGCACCACAGCGCAGTGGGTGGAAGTGTGTGTGTGTGTGTGTGTGTCCATGCATGCAAATAGGTCGCCTTCTAATGCCTGCTGTTCACCTCTTCTACTCCTCTTCCACTAACTGTTTCTAATTAGTATGTGTACAGCTGTTCAGTGACCTGGCCAAACATGGTATTTTCAAGCGCATGAGCCATATAGAAATGATCTGACACACAGCAGTATTATCTACACCAGCCTTCAGCAGTTTGAAATCACTTATTTTTAATAATATAAAGCAATTTTGCTGTAGATAAATGTATAAAATGATGCTATTATAATGCTAGTAGTCTACAAATCCACAGGTTTCAACTATTGTGTAGAAACCTGTAAAAAGAAGAATGAAGTAAAAATAAAATAATAATAAAATTAATAAAATTAGTTTCAGAATGCCTCATATTCGAGTTCATTCTGAGACCTGCTGTTGCAAAATTGCAACAACTGTTTAAAGCACTCTCTTTATGCCTGTGTCTGATTGGTGTCACTAAAACTACATTTCCCAACAGTTTACATGCTAAACTGTTTCACAGCATAGTGGTGGAAAAAAAGTTAGATTCTAAATTTAATAGTGAGCCAAAATCGAGTATTTGAGCTTTTTTTTTTACATTTTTTTCTTCATTCCTAACATGTTTAGTGATAAAAACTACAACAAACAAATAAAGGCTGTACATACACAAATTCAAGGCAATTTTTGTAAATGATAAAAAAAATGCAACCTTGGGCCGTAATGCTCAATATTTTCAGCAATGGCCCCATTTACTCCATTGTAATCAAAGGGCACAACTATTTTTACCAGATTGAATGGATGGATGGATTTTAACTTCATAAGGAGAACCACAAGGACAAAAAATTGTAAACTTTAAAACCTTTTTCTTAAATCCACCTTTTATGTCATCAATGTTGGACCTTTAAGGGTTAATAACTTCTTGTTGTTATTAAGTACAATGGCTAAAAATATTCTCTGGGGTCTAGTTTATACTATTTCAGTATACACTGTAGAGGTTATTATTGAAGTAATTATAAACTTTAAACTAAACTTTCGTGATTGTATGTTTAAAATCTACAGTTCTGTGCAAAAGTCAGAGACCGCCCTTCATTTATTAAATTTTTTAGTCAAAATGGCAATTAAATATAAAATATTCATTTTTCAGTGTCATAAAGCCATACAAAACTTAAATTTAATCAAAATTACACAAAAGCCTCATATAAAATAAAAATTGTATAACTGTATAAAAATTTTATAATATAATATAAAAATTGTCAGTATATGGTGTGTCCAAGAATTATTTGAAAAGAAGTCTGGTTCCATTGACTTACATTACACAAAAAAATGTTTTTTCCTTCTCCTATAAAGTTGTAATTTTGGAGATATATACACACACACACACATATATATATATATATATATATATATATATATATATATATATATAGATAGATAGATAGATAGTTAGATAGATAGATAGATATACGTTACGTTTATTGTAAATTGTGTGGTACTACCTCTGTGTGTGTGTGTGTCTTGTCTTAGGATGTATTCTGTTGACTGACCTTGTTCCACTCATGACAGCGAGCTGTCAAACCAGCCTGTTTCAGTGACTTGCCGTGTCGTCCTGATCAGCGTCTGCTGTCACACAACACACTGGCAGGCCAATGGAAGCGTTTTAAATCCACTGCTTACTGTCTAACAATCACAGTTACATCTCTGCCATCTGAGACAAGTACAATGTGGCTGAGAGTGAGAAATATTAAACATTCCAGGCCTATCAAACCAGACATTAAAGTACATTTTATATTTATTTGTGCGTGTGCTATTTTAAGCCTCTCTTTGCTGACACTAAATATAGCGCCATGCTAATTGCTCTTTCAGTCACACTCCTGGTGTAGGTGAAAAAAGTGGAGGTTTAAATAGAATTCAGCATATGGATCCAATTAACGCCTACAAAAATGTACACTAAGAGCCATCTTCATCATAAATCACATCTGTGCCCTTTTTGAAATGCAGTGTGGAAGGAAAGCGTATACCATTATGCTATTGTACAGACCCAAAAGGCTCATTCAGTGTAGCTACTGTTTAAAAAGACTTTCTTTATGGCTATATTAGGCATGACATACTAAAGGTTGGGTTTAAAAATCAGAGCATTATGGCAGGACAGACGTTTGCTTAGATTTCTGTGTTCAAATAAGGTATAACATAAAAATAAAGGTACCAAAAAGGGCTCTTTGAACGACGCTATAGACGTACCGCTTTTGGTTCCCTAAAGAACCTTTCAATGAATGGTTCCTTAAAGTAAGTGTGAATCAGACATCATAATACATTCTTTCCATACCATGACATATTTTCAAGTGAAACACAGTATCAAGAAGGGTCTCTAAGCTGGCTGAGCACTTTCTCTCAAAGAGAGGTGGGGGTGGTGGGAGTGGTGGGGCTGGAGCACAGTGATGTAAACAAAAATTAGAGGGGTCCAAATGTCACAACACTTTTATTAAAGATTATGGAGAAGCAAGAAACGGGTCCATATATCTGATGTTCATCTTTTGCATTTTGCAAAAATGTCTAAAAAGTAAGTTAAACAATCTTATAATAAGCTTTTAACAAAATCAAATATATTTGCTATATCGACTAGATTTACGATAATTCCACTTGCAAAAATACCATTATTTGCAGTGTATAAACAGAGACATGAACTAACAAGGTAATAAAAATCACTTTAAATTCAGGTTCACTTTAAATAACCATTTCTGTAAATGAGTTGCATAAGTCTAAAGAACATTTGAAGAAACTCCAACTGATATAAATATTCTATACCAATTAACGGATTAACTGTACATCCAACATATTTGGGTGATGAGCATCAGTCGGTCACTTTACAGCATTTGGCTTGTCTGGCAAGCACTTTCCAGATCCAGATATCTTATACATCCTAATGAATCCTGGTAAGCAAGCGGGTCTCAGAGGAGCTGAGGCTCAGTGCGACGTTTTGGCAGCCGTCAGCTATTTCTGCACCGTCCCTCATTACATTCAGACTACAGTCCCTCCCTCAACTCAGTGACACCATCAGCCAGAGCAGAGGGAGTCATCTCAAATGAGAGGCAGCCACGGCTACAGACGGCACAATACAACAATTTCATTTCATGGTATCAGTGATAAAATGATCATTTTCCGTAATATACATTTGGAAAGCACTGATGAACACTGATGAAATCGTTTCAACACAGATATTGCAGTGAGGGGAAATATTGCAGCATTGTGGGTCAATTTTGGCTCATCCTTTTTGGCACATTCTACAAAGTTACAAGGTCACTCTGAGGGACTCGCAATTTCAAAATCCTCTATCAAGATTCAAGTCAGAAGATTGGCTACACACTTAAAAACCATGGTTCTTCAAGGGTTCTCTAGTAAAGAAAATGGTTCTAT